ATAAATATAAATAAAAAAACAAAAAAATATATTAATATATTTAATATATAGTTAGGTTATTAAAAAATATATAAGACATCTATTAATTGTCCATTGTGGTGTAGTTGGTAACATGCAAGCCTTTCACGTTTGCGCCCCGGGTTCGATTCCCGGCGATGGAATTTTTTGTTTTATTATAGTCTTGATGTTTATAAAAATGTAGTTGAATAGTGTAGTCTAATAAGTTTTTACTTTCGGTAGGTTCATATCAAGTAGGATACACCCGTTCCCATCTGAACACGGAAGTAAAGATGCTTAGAGCCTGTTTAGTACCATTATGTTCACACAGATGGGAACGTCAGGTAATCTACCTTTTTATTTTTTGTAAAATTACAAATATTTATATTTTTTATATAATAGAAGTACACATAAAAAGGACAAAAAGACGAGCTTGGCAGGGATCGAACCTGCAATCCCCAGATTCGTAGTCTGATGCGTTTCCATTGCGCCACAAGCCCAATTGAACATTACTTGTTCATTTAGTTATTATGCCAGTCGGTTTATTTTTAAGATCTTTAGTTTTTATTTGTTTTGTACTAAATGAAATAAAAAGTTATATTAATTAAACTAAAAAATTATCATCTAAAAAAATAATAAGGTATAATAAATAAGAAATATATTATTAAAATTTACAATTTGTAAATTAATAGGGTTTCTATACATTTTATAACATGTATTAATTTAAAATATTAAAAATATAAAGTTAGAAAATATTGTAACATTAAAATAATCAATATAATAGAAGTCTCCAATAGTATAGCTGGTTAGTATCTTCGCCTGTCACGTGAAAGACCGGGGTTCGAATCCCCGTTGGAGAGTTCCTTTTATTTTTTTACTTATGACAATAAAATTTAGAATAATTATATATTTTATAGATATAGTTAAATATTAATAATAAATAACTTTATTAAAAACCGGTATTAATGATTACTAAATTTTTTAAAATATTTAAGTTTTATGATATTATTAATTTGTAGAATCTTAAAGGCATAAAATAAAAGTAATATGTATCCATTGTGGTGTAGTTGGTAACATGCAAGCCTCTCACGTTTGCGCCCCGGGTTCAATTCCCGGCGATGGAACTTTTTGTTTTATTATAGTCTTGATGTTTATAAAAATAACAAAAATAGTATTATAATTAAAGCTATCACCTAAAATCATTGAAATATTATATATGTGAAAGCGGGGTGGCGCAGTGGTAGCGCGGCAGGCTCATAACTTGCAGGTCGGTTGATCGAAACTTCCCTCCGCTGTTTTTATATTTTATACTTTTAAGTCATTTGTTGAGCGTTTTATATTTTTTGTAATAAAAAACACATTATGAGAATGTAAAGAAGAATAATATGAATTAAAAAGTGGTTCCGCCC